GCTGTCAATCTTGGAACAGGCTGCCCCTAGCTCTTCACCTGTCTCCCCTGTGTAAGGAGCCTCGGCCCTTGCTCTGCTGACTGCCGGCTTTCAACATCTCACCCCGCCTCCCCATTGTCTGTGATTCTCCTTTAGGCCTTCCAGGCTTTCGCTTTCCCCACTGCCCTGAAATTTTCTTCTTCCACGTCCTTGGTGGAGTCCCGCAGGGCTGGGTGGCTTGTCATTGCATGTCTCTCTTTGACGCTTTTCTCAGTCCCATCCTTCGAAAAGCTCTCAAAATAACACCACACTGCCCCTCCCTCTCCCCTTAGCTTGCCTGTGACAGCCTCATCTCAGTGATCAGTTCTGGGGAGTGTGTGTGAAGATCCTGGGGATTGGAGGTGCTCCGGTACTCTGTCTGGCACTGTTGGGGGTACCCCTCAGGGACAGGAAATCCTGTGGGAAGCTGGGGAAAGAACGGGGCGGAGAAGGCACCCAAAGACACAGAGGGCTTAGTCTTGCTTTCAGAGGCTTACAAAGCAACTGGGAGACAGCAAACACATATGCACCCTAGTGAAAATGAGCCAACTGATACATCAATATGCATTTGAATCTGGCAGCAACTGAGCTTAGGAAAAGAAACCAATGGAGCAGCTGAGTGGTGTTAATCAAGGAACACTCCCTGGAGGAGTGGACCTATCCACTGCTCAGTGGAACAGACGAGATATAGGCATCTGTCTTCAAGGCCTGCTAGAACAAAAACAGATATTCAGGCCCAGATGCTGAAGAATTGAGATCTTGACTATGGGCAGGAGTTTGAAGACAGTTGCCAAGGCAACTTGAAGGTCTTTTAGAGAAGAGTAGAAGTAGGCTTGGAAGATGGAGTGGCACAGAGAAAAAGGGAAGAAGAGAATTTGGCCTGGGCAAAACAAGCGAATGGCAAGGTCAACGTGTGAGCCCTGGTAAGAGGGTGATAAAGCTGAAAGTGATGCAGGTGGTGGAGGCAGGCCAATGGCAAGATGAAACCCATGGGATAGATGAAGGCAGACATGTACTTGAGTCTCATGAGCTGGCCTTGTCAGTTACCACCTGGGCACATATTTATGAACATAAAATGTCTTTTTTTTTTTTAATTTGAAGATAACAATTTTACAATGTTATGTTAATTTTTACTGTACAACAAAGTGAGTCTGCTTCATGTACACACGGATCTCCTCCCTCTTGAGCCTCTGTCCTCCTACCCCATCCCACCCCTCTAGGTCATCACAGAGCACCAAGCGAGCTCCCTGTGCTATACAACAGATTTCTATGATGTCCTTTCTTTAAAATGGGGCTAAAAACTCCTGCCACATGGACTTTTTGTGATTTTTAAATGAATTGTAGCTCCTACCACATGACTGGTGCCTGTCAGTGTTGGTATTTCTTTCTGGTTGCATTTTGCCTTTACTTTTATAAATGCAGGGAACACAAATAAGCCAGAAGTGAGGGCTTGTGGTTATCATCTTTCTCCCATCTTTGCTTTTTAATATCACCACACACTCATCACCATCCTGGGGACTCGGTAGGACACGAACTTGGTGAGCAGGCAGCATTTCAGTTTCCAGTCGTTTGAGGTGACCTCAAAAGTAAGCAGTGAAAAGAGAATGGAAGTTTGATTCAGGAATTGGAGGAATCCCAGGAATTGACCGTATGACTTGGGAAAATTTTTTGACATCTCTGGGTCTGCCTTCTCACTTTTTTGATAGGCAGGTTAGATGGTGGCATCTTGGAGCGATTCTCTTCCCACTCATTTACAGGAACCAATTCCCCCAGCCCATCCTTGAGCTCTTCTCCAGTTTCAGAGGAAGAACACTTGAATCAGAACCAGAAAACTCAACTTCTAGTCCCAGATGTGTCTTTTCCGAGCTGGAGTATTTAAGATGCTGAATCTCTGTGAGTCTCAGTTTTATGTTTCATAAAATGGCTTGAAAACAGCATGACTGCTTAGTTCTCAGGACTCTTGTGGGAATTGTGTCTGCGTCAGTTCTTGGTGAGGTGTAGGGTGCAGATATAAGCTGATGGTTATTTTATGCCTTCTTGTTGCTTCTAGTAGCAGCTAGAGTAAGTTTTGCAGTTCTGTAAATTGTCTACGGACTGTTTGACTATCCACATCTTTGATTCTTCTCTATGTCAGTTTCTTAGTTTGAGGTTGGAAGCATGGATCACTGCAAAGATTAGTTGTGGGCTGGCAGAGGTAAGAATGAACACACACACACTCACACACACGTACACATATGCACACCCCTCCAAACTGCTAGAAGGAATCGGTTGTGCAGTGATATGTCTCATGAGGGAGTGTGCTGAACTAAAAGGATTTTGATTGCCTGTTAAAAGATGATTAGGCAACAGGCATCACCCTGCCAAGACCATCCCAAGTCCCATTGTTCCCAGTGAGGGACAAGATCCAGATTACTCATTCCCTTAAGAGATGGTTGTGTAGCAGCTCAAGAATGGTAGCTTTGGGACAGAGTCTGAGACAACAGTGCCATGGAGATGAGGGGAAGGGGAGCACTGGGGAGGTGAGGGGCACTTTCTGGAGGAGAGTGTAGGGCAAAAACTGTGGAAAAGGAGGATGGAAAAGGCACAGTGGTGGGGAGCACGCTGGAGAGGGTGTCCTGCTTCATAACCATAGGGTGATGGGACCAGATGGTCTTCAGTGACAACCTCCCTCCTGCATAGTTTGTATTCCCCAGTGGAGCCCTCACACTTAAGTCTATGACTAATCAGTACTACTCAGGGTAGCTTAAAGCCAGCTGAAGTCAGAATCCACTGCTCACAGAGTCTTCAATTCTGTATTTACATGCCAGGGTGAGGAGCATGCCTGGCTTCTAAGAAGCGTCAGAATGACAGTCTGTGTAGGGTCCAGGTCTTCCCAGATCCCAGTGCCACTACTGCCCGTTAAGACCAACCCAAGTGCTGCGCTCCAGGAAGGCCCCTGGGGTTTGTTTCCTGACCCACTGTAATGCATGCTGGGTCCTTTTGCATCTGAATGGCAGCAAAATCCAGATCACCAACTCGATGGACATGAGTTTGAGCAAACTCCGAGAGTTGGTGAGGGACAGGGAATTCTGGCCTGCTGCAGTCCATGGGGTGACGAAGAGTCAGACACAATTGAGCAGCAGAACTGAACTGGCAGCAAAATCCCTACTGAATTCTGAATCCCCCCTTCTCAGAGTAAACTGGAGTAACATTTTCCAAGCACGTGCACATGTATGGAGCCATGGACTCAAAGGGATAACACAGGTCTTCTGCCCTTGGAGCTCTCTGCAAGGGAATGGCTCCCCAGGATATCTGATTTTACACACAGTGGGCAGCATACCCCGAATTCAGCTTCTGTGCTGTCATATAACACGTGGGTTAGGGTCTTGTGCACTGCAGCTTGGCATCCCCCATTCAAATACCAGCCATGCTGTCTGTGATCTATGTAAACTTGGCAGGCTGTCCAACCTCTGTGTCTCAGTTTCCTCATTTTAAAAATGGGTAGCATAGTAGCATCTATCTCAAAGCATTTATTGAAAGTTAATATATATAAAGCTCTTCCCTGGTGACTCAGTGGTAAAGAATCCACCTGCCAATGCAGGAGATGTGGGTTTGATCCCTGGGTCAGGAAAAGCCCCTGGAGAAGGAAATAGAAACCTACTCCAGTCTTCTTGCCTGGGAAATCTCATGGACAGAGGAGCCTGGTGGGCTACATGGGGGTGCAAAAGAGTTGTATACAATTTTGCAACTAAAGAACAACAACATGTAGATCAGTTCTGATACTTGGTCAGTTATTGATACATTATTATTAAATAGCTATTCTTATTCTAGCTTGCCATTATAATTACTATCATTATTTTTATTGATGTTATTACTATTGACATTACTCCAGAAGCAATTTTAACCCCTCAGGCCAACTTTCCTGACTTCCATCACTGTTCTCTCTTCCAAATCTACATCCATCTCCTTATACAGTCTAGTGTGAGTCCTGAACCAGTTGTCAAGTCTCACTGCCACTCCTTTGTTTTACAGAATGTATGAAATAGCATCTGTTTGTTTATCTCATTCTCCATATGCTTTTGTGTGTGTATGTGTGTGTTTGGCCATACCTTGTGGCTTGTGGGATATTAGTTTCTGATCAGTGATTAAACCTGTGCTTTCAGCACTGGACCACCAGGGAATTCCAGCCATATGGTTTTTCAACTGGTATTTGCATGCCATCCATTTGCACCTGTTTTCTCTTGCTGATTCTGCCCTTGTTCTGTTTCTGCTCTGGTCAACCTCTGAGGAGAAGGAAAACCCAGAAAACTAGAAAACAACAAGCATCTCCCTTCTGGGCCTTTCAGAGCACAAACCCACCCACCCGTCCTGTTCCATGATAGTTCCTACTTCTCCTCATTAACGCAGCCCACATATAAAGTTTACATTTAATAAAAGAACTTCCTTTAATTTTTCACTTATTAAAGACAGCACTTGCTGAGCTCTGATGTTTAGGGGGGGCAGATCTCCAAAGGAGAAGGAGCTGAAGAGCTCCTTCTGAGACTCAAGTGTGGGGAGCTGCACCTGCCAGGCTCCAGGAGAATGTGCTGAGCAGCTTCCATGGGCAAGGCAGGAATGCTAACTTCCCTATCTCTGTGACAGGAGGTTATGAAATCCAACCAAGAAGCAGCAGGTGGCAGATGCAGGGTCCCATTTTCCTAAGTCGCAAACTCTCAGAGAGATTTTGCCTGATAACAAGATTACCACACGAGTGATCTTGCATGTGCAGCAACTTTGAGAGCCATCCTGGGAGCTAGGTGTGTAGTGTTTATGATACTGTTGAGGCTCGTAAATATCTTGTATGGCTGCAGGCGAGCCAATCCTTGGAAAGGCGCTGCATCTCGCTGACTCTAGGGCCAAGCCCAGCTGGCTGCCTGTATATAAGGGGAAGTCTCTGTGCTCCAGGTAGAGGAGTGTTAGCTTCTTTCCTTTCTCGACGTGGCTCCTTCTCTCTCCACGTCAACATGAGTCGACGCTTTAGCTCCAAGTCCGCGTACCGTTGCGGCGGTGGAGGAGGGGGCTTCAGCTCTGGCTCTGCGGGGGTGGTCAGCTACCAGCGCAGGTCCACCAGCAGTTCTGTGCGCCGCAGCGGGGGAGGCGGTGGGAGATTTTCTGGTGGAGTGTGTGGCGGTGGTGCTGGTGGTGGTTTTGGAAGTCGGAGTCTTGTTAACCTTGGTGGCAGCAAAAGCATCTCCATTAGTGTGGCCGGAGGAGGTGGACGTGGCGGTTTTGGTGGTGGTTATGGCGGCGGTTATGGCGGCGGTTATGGCGGCGGTGGCTTTGGGGGTGGTGGATTTGGTGGTGGTGGCTTTGGGGGCGGCGGTTTTGGAGGTGGTGGCATTGGGGGTGGCTTTGGGGGTGGTGGTTTTGGCGGAGGTGGTTTTGGTGGGGGCGGTTTTCCTGTTTTCCCTGGTGGCATACAGGAAGTCACCATCAACCAGAGCCTTCTGCAACCCCTCAATGTGGAAATTGACCCTGAAATCCAAAAAATAAAGACTCGAGAAAGGGAGCAGATCAAGTCCCTCAACAACCAGTTTGCTTCCTTCATCGACAAGGTGAGTCTAACCTCTCAGTGCACTGGGAGAGCTGCTCTTCCATGTGGGATTGGCCCTCCCCATGCGTGCTTGAGTTTGAGCCTCAGGTTTCTGTGGTTGGATGGTTAAAAGGATAGTTTGTGGAATTGTCTTCAGGAGATACATTAGAAGTATGTTTGCAATGATGCTGATGACTAACTTCTCTCTTGGGCAAAAAGGTCTGAGGTCCACGTAAAAGAAGGGCAATTTGATCTCACCATGAAGTGCTTTAAAAAAAAAAAAATTCAACTCCTGAGCTGACTTTGGCCTCAGAGATGTTGAATAAAGATGACAGAAATGAGGTTAATTCAACCTTCTAGGATGCAAACCAGAGCTCTGGAAAGGCCTTCCTAACCATAAAAAAAGGGACTTTACTTGAGTGTAAAGAGAGCACATGGTGATATTGTAGCTAAAAGTGTGCAGTAAGTCAGGGCCAAGCATCTCTTCCTGTCAGAAGAGGAGAATTGCACCCTGAGGATTTTCCATTGATACTGGACCAGGGTGGAGAATGTTTTGTGCTTGTATTTCCAAGTATCTGCTCTAGAAAAGAATGTAAATTATTTTTTACTTGATCATCAATAATGTCAACACAATAGATTTGGAATTCACTTTTTGTATTTTCCCAACATACTTTTGAACTATATGTTTGCTCAGGGAAGGCAAAACAATTTTTATGGTACTCTACCTAAAACAAAAGGAAAAAGGAATGTAAATCTCTTAAACATCAAGTATCTGTTTCAAAGTATGATTGCAGTAATTTTATATATGCTTTGCTATTTGGGTAGCTACTCCCTTCCAAAGTTCCAATGGAAACTTTTAAAGTACCATTTCCAATCTTATGGAAGCTGAGGCTTCTCTGAGTTCACAGTGAGTTGGGTTTTATTATGAAAATGATGCTAACTTGATCATCTTCTTCCTACTTTTTCCTCTTCCATGGCCAGGAAAATAGGCATTGAAGTTCTTTCCCAAGTGGCTGGGCCTGGCTATGTGGTAGGCCTTGGTACTCAGTGGGTAATGGGGTCTTGTGTTCTTAGGTGAGATTCCTGGAGCAGCAGAACCAGGTGCTGCAAACAAAATGGGAACTGCTGCAGCAGATAAACACCTCCACTAGAACCTACAGCTTAGAGCCCCTCTTTGAGTCATACATCAGCAGCCTTAGAAGGACTGTGGACCAACTGAAGAGCGACCAATCTCGGCTGGATTCAGAATTGAAGAATATGCAAGATCTGGTGGAAGATTACAGGAGCAAGTAAGGATTACTGGCTGGGCTACTCTTGTTTTTGTTCTAAAATATTTCCAGAAAGTAGCAAGCTAAGACTATGAACAGCATGTAATAATACCTTTTCATAGGTTAGAGGAAAGTCAATTAGGCATTTTCAGAAATCCTGGTTTTCTCAGACGCTGGTAACAGTTCAGTGGTTTTATTGCTTAGAAAGTAAAATGTCTTAGGCTGGTTATGACAGGCAAGGACAATGACAGGCAATGTCACTTTTAGTCTAGAAAGCTAAACGTTGGGCCTCGCCTCCCCGAATCTCCTCCTCACTTCTGATTTCCTTGCAGGTACGAGGATGAGATCAACAAGCGGACAAATGCAGAGAATGAGTTTGTGGGCATCAAGAAGGTAAGACAATTCTGTAGGATGCCTATCACATTTGAAATAAGTAAGAGTGGAGGATGTCCAATACCTAAGCAGAAAGAGGTCATAACATGGAGAATCAGGTAGTGGGCCTGAGGAACAGCTGAGGTAGAGATCCCCCCCTCCCCCCACCCAATATTATCACAGACCTGGACTTGTCCAGACATTCTGCTTCTCCAGATCCCTCAGGACTTCCTGGAGTGAGGAGGCAGTTCTCAGTAAGTCAGACAAGATCCCTTGTGATACCAAGGGGTGGGGCAGTCTAGGGATGAAGAAGTGAAGAAGACCTCTTGGAAAATCCCCTTCTAGCAGGGGAGAGGTACTCGCCCTGAAAAGACTCTGACTTCATGATGTTCATGGTTCTTCTAGGATGTGGATGCTGCTTACATCATCAAGGTGGACCTTCAAGCCAAACTTGACAACTTGCTTCAGGAAATTGATTTCTTCAAAACACTCTACCAAGCAGTAAGTTCTCTAGTTTCAACCAGGTTTACCGAAATGGAGAACCTTTAAGCCCCAACCCACTCCTATTCAGAGATATATCTTTCTTCTCCTGAAATCCTCTCCCTGTCCCAAGTTGTTCTTTAGTTTTAACATGGTAAGTCACTGAACTGTTATGCCTCGCAGGAGCTCTCTCAGATGCAGACTCATATCAGCGATACCAATGTTATCCTTTCCATGGACAACAACCGCAATCTGGACCTGAACAGCATCATTGATGAAGTCAAAAACCAATATGAAGAGATTGCCCAGAGGAGCAAGGCTGAGGCTGAGGCCCTGTACCAGACCAAGGTGAATGGGCTGATGCCTGTCCAGTTTTCCTAAAATGTCTTTTCTTGCTATCCTGATTTTTTTCTTACATTTGTGTGCATGAGTCATGGTGCATTCTGCCACCTCTGAATGATTTAATCTACCACATTTAGTATGAAGAGCTCCAGATCACTGCTGGGCAACATGGAGACAGCTTGAAAAATACAAAGATGGAGATTTCTGAGTTGAATCGGGTGATCCAAAGACTTAGATCTGAGATCGACAGTGTCAAGAAGCAGGTACTTGCTTCCTCCTTCAACTACTCAGTTATACGGAATGGGATGGGGTGTCCAGGTTATTGGAGGATGTGTTCCTAATTTTGAAGATTACAACCCATATGAAGGTTGTATTGTTATCCCTAGTTCTTTGGTGACTATGGTTTCTAGAGTTTGGCCATGATGCTAGGTTCTCCTTGGGGAAATTTATGAAAATGACCTAGTAAAGAAATAGATATAGTAGTCATGAGAGGTCCAGCCCATGGCCCAAAGTGACTTAAAAGGTGGTGAGTGAGAGGAAAGGCAACCAGGAGAATAGGCATCTGGAAGAACATCAAGTCTGTAGGCAGTGAAAGAGTCTCACCTTAGGGCCCAGAGAGGCGGCTGCATCACCTTTATTTAAGGAAGTTGACACAGTGATGTATTATCTCAAGACATGTGAGTGCAGGTCCTGTAACTCTCTGGGAGTCAGAGTACTGGCCACACAGGGGTGGAGAGATCAATCTGAGACAGAAAGGCCAAGATGGAATTAGGTAATCAGAGAGTGTATAATGTGCTGGATTCTCCTTTTCCAGATCTCTTCGCTGCAGCAGGCCATTAGTGATGCCGAGCAACGTGGTGAGAACGCCATTAAGGATGCCCAGAGCAAGCTGAATGAGCTGGAGGATGCCCTGCAGAAGGCCAAGGAGGACATGGCCCGCCTGCTGCGTGACTACCAGGAACTGATGAACACCAAGCTGGCCCTGGATGTGGAGATCGCCACCTATAGGACCCTCCTGGAAGGAGAGGAAAGCAGGTGAGGAAGGGACCCTGGGCAATTGGCCACTTCCTATGTGGTTCCTCCCTTGGACACTGGTTGCTGTTGAAGACGCAACCACGTGACTGCAACTTGTCCTGGGTATGGGGAAAGGAAAAACTCACAGCACAGGAGGAAAGGCTTGGCTTCACTTTGGGAGCCAGAGTCCCAAGCTTTTTTTTTTTTTTTTGAAGGCTGTTGCATCTCTCTGAACTCTTTGAGATAAAGCAATTTATTCTTTACCTGAGTGTGTGTGTGTTAGTCACTCAGTTGTGTCCCGACTCTTTGCAACCCCATGGATTGGGGCCCGCCAGGCTCCTCGGTCCATGGGATTTTCTAGGCAAGAGTATTGAAGTGGGTTACCATTTCCTTCTCCAGGGGATCTTCCTGACCCAGGGATCGAACCTGGGTCTCCCACATTACAGGCAGACTCTTTACTGTCTGAGCCACACCTGGGCTGGCTCAAATGTCATCTGACCCAAAACCAATGCCTTTGGATATGGTGGGCATATTTACTTTGTCTAATTTACATGGAGATTTTGCCCTGTTAGTACTGATGCTGAGAAAAATGACCAAGTTCGGGAGGCCAGAGGGAACGGGATTAGGTTTCAGATGAAGCAGACTGGGGGACTCCCAGATGGGGAGACTCTTCAGAGATGGCTGAGAGGGCTTGGGGAGGCAGGCTGTGAAGCTGGCATCATGAGTATTATGCTTTTCTTTCTCCTTCAGGATGTCTGGAGAGTGTGTCCCGAACGTGAGTGTGTGTAAGTACAAGCTGATTTCTCAGGGTTTCTTCTCGGGTGCAGGTCTTGCTGGTCTTGCTGGGTTGGAAAGGGAGTTGGGGTTGATGATAACGAAGTGTTCTCTTGCAGCTGTGAGCACCAGTCACACCAGCATCAGCGGTGGCGGCGGCCGAGTAGGCGGTGGTTTTAGCTCCGGTGGCGGCGGCTATGGCTCTGGAGGTGGCGGCGGCTACAGCTCTGGAGGTGGCGGCAGCTATGGCTCCAGAGGTGGCGGCAGCTACGGCTCTGGAGGAGGCAGCAGTGGGAGCCGCAGAGGTGGCTCTGGAGGAGGCGGTGGCGGCTCTGGAGGCAGCTTCAGCTCCTCTGGAGGTCGGGCATCCAGCACCAAGACCTCTGGTGGTAGTTCCAGTGTGAAGTTTGTTTCCACCAGCTATTCCAGAGGGCCCAGATAAAGAGGTCCTCTCTCCTCCATTGGCTTTCTCTCTCCATCACTACCAAATATGCTTCTGAGTGCCCCAGCCTTACTGGAGGAAAAAAGCTATGGTTACACTGGCTCATCCTATTTCCTAGCTCTGTCCTTTCTGCTCTGATTTCCAAAGAAAAATTTTAAATCAGTGGCAATCTCAGTCCCTCAGCTAGGACCCTGCTCTACTCTGCCCAAGAAACACTTCAACAATCACTGCTACACACATTACATTTCAAAGCATCTACTTAAGTCAGCCAGAAGAGAGCTGGTCAGACCCACGGCTTCTTTGCCGTGGACAGAGCACAAGCTCTGGACAGCTCCCTGGTATCCCAACTCGCACAACAAGCTCTGTGCTGCTTTGGTTTTGTACATAAGGTGTAAGCCAGTTGTCTTTGTGGAGAGGTCTTAAACTCCCTGTTTCCTGTGTTTCTGCAATAAACTGCATTTGAAATTCTCTCTGTGTCTCCGTTTCCTTTGTTCACAGCACTGTCCATCCTGGATGGGTGTTCTATGGGGAGAAGACGACCCTGGAGCCCTATGGCGTGTGTGTGTGTGGGGGGGTGGGGTTGGGGCACATGAACATGAGTAAGGTGGGAATGCTGGTCAGACAACATTTAACTTTAAACATTCAGCATTTAACTAGAATGAACTCTTGCCCAGAGGGTGGAGGTGTCATGAGAAATATACACTAGGGTAGCAGGTTTTACTCATCTGAGAGGGCTTTTTTGAAAAGGGCAGTGAACCAAGCAGGTTGGGAAAGAGGAATCTGGCATTGAAAAGAGGGGGAAAGTATTATTGGAAAAGCAATTGTTTATGTAGAATAGCCAATGATGGTGTTATTAAAGAAAACGTAGGTCCACTTGCCCTTGTGCAGTAAAGCCCATGTACTGACACCTGGTTATGATGAAGGAAAGTACAGTGTTTACCGTAGGTGACAAACAAGGAGTCTGGGCAACTAACACTCAAAAGGCCCAGACTCTCTGATCTCTTTCTGGGAAAGGTTTTTTTTTTTTCAGGAAAAGGAAGGATTTATTACTTGCAGAAAGTAAGGAGAATATCAGAGATGTTTCCCAAAACAGTGTCTCCCACAACAGCAACATTGGGGAAGTTTTGGAATTTCTTAATTTATTTTTAATTGAAGGATAATTGCTTTACAATGTTGTTTTGGTTTCTGCCATACATCGACTTGTATCAACCATAGGTATACATATGTCCCCTCCCTCTTAAACCTCCCTCCTACCTCTTTCCACCCCTCTAGGTTGTTACAGAGCCCTGGTTTGAGTTCCCAGGGAAAGGTTCTTAAAGACAGGTTGAGGGAGAGGGTTGCAGGGCATGTGATCAGCTTGTGGACGTTCTTCTGATTGGTTGGTGGTGAGGTAATCGGGAGACAACATCATTAACCTTCTGGTTCCAACTGATGTGGGATCTCCATGCTGTGGTCAGCATACAGTCAAACTTCTTCCACTTGGTGGGGATTTTAGTATTTGTAGAACAGCTCAAAGTATATGACTTGGAGTATTATCTACAATCCTTGAGGAGGAACTAAAGGTCCTTGACTTTGTTTAATGGATAAACTAGTCTTATTTTCTCTTGCTGGACTGTTTTCTTTGTTTCTGCATTTTCTCACTTCTCTGATTAAACTGACCTTTAGAACCTGGGGAAGGGCTAGGAGGCTAGCCTGGGAGGAGGCTAAAGTTTTCTGAAAACAAGAGGGAGGCTGAGGACATAGGGGAGGGTTCTGTCATGGGAAGGCCCCCCGCTAGAGTCCCGCTTGGCTACAATGAGAGGGGTGTGAGTAACATGGGGTCCACAGTTACTATAGTCAGAATACAGACTTGGGCATGGGGAGTTCAAGAACCAAGAGTGCTAATGGAGAGCTAGACATTCATTTCCTCTCTCTTTCAGGCCACCATTCAAAGTTCTGCTTAATGTAAGAAGTTCATTTGTGGATATATAGCCCATACTGCTAAAGTAATTCAATGGGATAGCATAGTGGCCAGAAGCATGAATGTTTGGAATCAGATATTCTTGGGTTTGAACCACCACCATTAACGAACTCTGTGATAACGTATAACTTATAGACCTCTCTACACCTCAGTTTTATTATCTCTAAAATGGAGATAATAATGCCTTCTTCATGGAAATTACTGTGAGAACTGAATGAGATGATGAATGAATATGGCTTAGCATATAACAAGCCCTCAGTGAGTTTTAATGATAATGGTGGTGATGGTGATGATGGTGATTATCTGGTTGTTGTAACCTTGCTTACTGGCCTCCACATAACTCAGTAGATGTTTATTTTAAGGAACATCAGCTTCCCAGCAAAAGCTGAAAAAAAAGAAACCATTAAAAAGTCTGTCAATTTTCTGAGGGTCAACTTTCTTAGGTTCCTATTAGGAAAAATGTTTCTAGCTCCAGTGTTAGCCAGGGCTGAAGGGAATAAAGAGGGCATAGATCAATATGAGTAACATTTAAGTATCTATCAGTGAACTCTATCCCTTCTTCCCGATCACCTCTCCATTAGAGCTGCTTCCTGTCTGACTGATGTGAGAGTTAGGGAGGCTTTATGATGGATAGAAAGAACAATGAACTTTGATTCAGAGAACCTGGGTTTAATCCACTGTGGTATTTATGGGGCAGACGAAGATAATCCACAGCTTACAGGACAGGTGGATCCTTGGACAAGTCATCTGACCATTCTGAGCCTCAGGAATCTTGTAGATGAAATAGGGGTGAGGACATTTGCCTCTAGACATCAAGAGGATAAGATATGCAATGTAGAAATGCTTTGTGAACTGTGAGCTTGTCAAACAGTATTTAAATGAAATTAAAAGGGAGTCACGAATGAGTAGAAGAACATGGTTGGTTGTCAGGGCCACCAAGGGGAGAAGTATCTTGACAAGGTCACAGTGACACAGTGATAGCTTATAGGGACAAAACATTGATTTTGTTAGTGAACCCAAGTTGAATCTACTTCTGAGACCTAGTATTTGTAGGCCAAACATATAAGAGATGGAAACATGAACCAGGATATATGTGTATTAGCTTGTGGGAAACCTGTATTTTCAGTGGCTGAAATACCAGAGCCACCCCACCCTGTTATCAAGATGCCTGGGAAAATAAATTAGTCACAAGGGGTGTCTTGGTACTCGTGAATTTAGAACGATGGGAGTTGGAAGGCCTTGAGGTAGATGGCTTCCTCTCCTCCATGGGAAAACAGACCTCCTAAGTCACCAGATACTGGCTTATCATTACTGGCTTATTACAGTTCTGGGGACACTGTTGAATGAATAGTGATGTATTCTGGCCCTCTGGCAAACACTTCCTAATCTCTTTCTAAGTTACAAGTTTCTTTAGTCATATGTCAGTATTGGGAATACACTTGCTTGTTTCTTTTGAACCTAGGTGTTCTTGGTAAGGTCAGACATGAAACAGAAACCACTACCATTTATAGTGAAACTTATCAAAACTTGTAAGGTCACAGGACTATATGAACTGTGTTAGTATATAATAAAGAATTAGATGAGATGGTTTGATGGCATCACCGACTCAATGGACCTGAGTTTGAGCAAGCCCTGGGAGTTAGTGCTGGACAGGGAAGAAAGGCATGCTGCAGCCCATAGGGTTGCAAAGAGTCGAACATGACTGAGCAAATGAACTGAACTGAACTGAACTGAAAGAACTAAAATGAGCATGATCAAGCACTCAAATGCAGTAGAAGGACAGCAAAGGAAAAATCTAGATCCTGATCAGTTCAACAAATAGTTCCTGCCCACATACTATATGTC